ATATATATATATATATATATATAATAAATATATAAAACGAAAATTTTTTTTTCTGCTAGAAAGCTGTAAACCTAATTGCTGACTGACATTTTAAATTGCAGAAGGCACAGATTTAGAGGTAAAACTCATACAATTCGTTCTAACCCCCTAAAAAAAAGATTTTTCTGGGAACTAATCCCCCTGCAACTTTATATCCTCAACCAGTATAGTAACTTAACTGAACTATTTTACCACTTTTGTGCTTAAAAAAAGTAGTTGCAATATTCACACTTCATAATGATGTCATGTTCACCAAAACTATGCCGTGTAAAATATCGAAAACCCGATAGTTACGTAATGATATCTTATCCTGCACTAATTCTAAACCTGTTTTTAACATAGTATGATTTACATTGCTATTTTCCAGTCACAAAAGTCCAGTGCACAGCAAACAGTTTCGCAACGCAGAAAATTTCAGGAGGATAAGGCCTAATACTGAAAAGAAAATGTCAAATAAGCAACTACAAAAAGTAAAACATTACCATGGGTCGCATAATGGTTCCTGTACATAATATAATTTTGGTTGCAGAGCTTTTAGAAAGTAGACGTACAGTTTGTGCCATTTTAATGAAGCATTCATCAGATAGAAAGGGTGGATCAATAACAATAAGATCAAACATTTTACAGCAACCTTCCGGCAAAGCAAGAGGACTCTTATAGTCGTAAAATATGAACTGAGTTGGATATACAGATGCGAAGCGCAAGTCGTATTCCAAAAGTTTCACCAAGAGTTTTTTAGATCGTATTCTCTACAATTAACAACCAATTTAAGATCGCACAGAAAGAAACTCACAAATCAACCGTAGAAAATTAATAAGAAGAGAGACTTCGCTAACGCTAATGAGAAGTAACGCTATTTTCGATTCGCTAAAAGAAGAAATTTATTTCATCATACACACAAGTAGAACCACAAAAAACCAACTTCACTCTTTACAAGGCCTTCCATTAATGTCGGACACGAGACACAAGCAATATTTCCACCAGCTTCTACTGCTGTAATGCATTCTGCAGCTAACGTTTCTGCCGTTTCTTTTGAGTACCAAAACTGACTTAACTGAAAAGTAACGCTATTTTTGTTTCACTGCAAAACTTAATTTAGTTTACACAAATTACTATGACTACACCTATACGGTCCTTCTAAAAACTGCTTCTCGACTTGTATGCGAACTGAGCTTTCAAAAGGAGAAAGTAGCAGTAATAACAGAATGTTCCTTCGACTACTAATGAAGTTTTTAGTATCGTCGGCAAACACCACTTGTCAAAAAATAAAATAAATCCTTTAAATGGCGGAGGAATAAATATCGAAAAGAAATGACGAGAAAATAATTTTTTTTTTTTTTTTTGATTGTACAGAAAAAAGCCAATTTATTTGTACGAAGCATATTTACGTCCATGGAAGCATTAAAAATAATGGTAATTAATCCCTACTGTACAGTAAGTTCCAACTACCGAAACGCGAAAAAAACTGAAAAATAGACAAGACCTGCCAATCTTCCTCAACATTGTTTTCGTCCTTGGACGTCTTTCGCTCGGCATAAAACTCGGCCAATGCAGATAAAGTATGCTGAGATAAACACGGTGTGTCGTCATCGTCGGTTGATGCTTCGTTAACAACATTATGATTCACAGTATTACCAGTCTGCAAAATCAATGAATCAAGTTTTGACATTAAGGATAAGGAGCGGATGAAAAATAAAAGTAAAAATGTTTCCTGTGTGTTTCCTATCTATTTATCTCATAAGGGAAGGAAAGAAAAAAAAGAAACAAAAACAAACAAATAAAAAAAAAAAAGTGACGACTGTGATGATGGATAATTGGCATAATTAGGAAAAAAAAACTCATGTCACAAAAAAAATGACCAAATAGCTCGGTTTCTATAACTTAAAGATGTTTTCTTAGAACTTTTTTTTTTCTCTCTCTCTCAAAAACGAATTCACTTCAGTGAAAGAAGAACAAAAAAAAAGGAACGGAAAGAAAATTAAACGAAAACAAAAAGAAATCGAATAATTTTCACAAAAAATTTCATTACTGCCATTTCTTAATCATTTCCAACAATTAAATTAGAAAAACAGAAAGAGCCCATAAGAAAGTGCTGAAACGCTAAGATAAAGGAAAGGAAAAATAGAAGAGAAATAAGCAAAGATAGAAATAAAAAAGAAACACAAAAAAATTTTAACCTTTAAAAAGCGATATGCAAAATAAGCTGGAAAAAAAAATTAAAAAAAAAAAATCGGACAAGACAGATCTGTGTCGTCTGTGTCTGTGAATGTCTCTATGTATCTATAAATTCACTGAAACAGTTATGAAACAAATAAAACTGGTAAAAGCAAAAAGATTTATTGAAGCGAGCAAAACAAAACAAAAATTCAAAGTATTTATTGCTTTACAGTATAAAAACTTGCTAACTACATAAGTTATAAATGCAGAAGTTAAGGTAACAAGTGAAAAAAAAAAAAAAAGACGAAGTATAAGATGTTTGAAAAAAAAAACTGCATACCTCATACATTGTTTTCTGCCGCACTGAATGACGATCAGTAAGAAGTTGAGGTAAAAAAAAAAAAAAAAATTAAAAATAAAAATAAAAAAATAAAAAACGCCAACCAAATAATATACGTATCACCACATCCGTTACAATTGATGGATGTGACCACGCAAAAACGATTCAGACCACCAACAACAGCAACAACGACAACCACGACAACT